TTTTTATAAAATTAAATATATCAGAAAGGGATGTTTTGAGCATATGTCAATCTATAATTAAGAAACATTTATTAAAAATTAAAGTAATTTAGCCCAGGCCAGATGGCTCAGTTGTTTGGAGCACCCTCCTGTACACCAAAAGTTTGTGGGTTTAATTCCCAGTCAGGGCATGTATGGGAGGCAACCTAGTGATGTTTCTCTCACATGGATGTTTCTCTTTCTCTAAAATCAATGAACCTATTCTCGGGTGAGGATTAAAAAGAAATCAATGTCATTGAAAAAATTTTAACGGGCTGAAGAGTTGCAATACTTATGGGAATTAACCTTTCCTGGATTTTCTTTTTTTTAATTATTAAATCTTTATGGTTCAGATTATTACAGTTGTTCCTCTTTTCCCCCCATCTTTCCTGGATTTTCTACCCAAACCCCACTGCAGGAGTTTGTCGGGCACCCACTGTCCGCCCAGACAGCAAGGTGTCGCATCTACAGTGAAGAAAGAGATGCAGACATCTCATCGATGTTTCTAACTCTCTATCCCTCTCCCTTCCTCTCTGTAAAAAATCAATAAGATGTATTTAAAAAAAAAAAGAAAAGAAAGGGATGTTAAATATGTATTTGCATGCATGTAGAGTTCCTTTTCTAAGTTATAAAAATGTGGTAATATATTGATGATATTACAAGTAAAGTAACTTTAGCTCCTTTTTCTCCTTCCATTTCTTATCCTCTGCTACCTCCTGCTTTAGTCTGGGGTGGTTTCAGGAAAATATGGTATAGGGTTGCAGTTTAATATTAAAATTTCCACAAAAATATACTAAGTCTAGGGGTAAAGTATCTGTTTTCTTCACTAGGCCATATACTCTTCCTGGAGAATAATTTTATTTTACCAATCCACCTAACATTCTCAATGCATTCTTAAACTTGTCTGTTAAATTAACTGAAGGAAGTATGACAGAATAACTAGTGGCCCAGCACACGGATTCGTGCACATTGAAAGGAAATTAATTAGAAGAAATGTTTTAATATCACTATTTGCCCTTTCTCTATAATAGAAGTGTCAACCAAGTTCATGACTGACAATGACAGATCAAAACACATGCATGCGATTGGTGTCAGCAACAGCTTTATATGTATCACACATGCACGAGTCAAATTAGCCTATATGACTTATTGACCAATGTTATCCCAATAAATTTAATTCTTTAAAAAACATGTAACATTTGCAGAAAAGTGACTGAAGGGCACATAAGATCCCATCTGCTGCTCTAAAGTAATTTTATTACTAAAAATGTTGAAAGAGAAAACTTTCCTGTAATTTCAGAAACTATAAAAATCATGGAGTAAAGTGGGGGAAAAGGAGACATATGTAAAACTTTAGACAATAAATTTTTAAAAATCATGGAGTTAAAATAGTCACCTTTCTACCTTAATCATCTCATTTGACAGCATATGGTACCTGGATACCACCCTGAAAACCAAGGATATTTGCTATTGTTTTCACATTAGAATAATTTTAATCTATATTTTGAATACATAATATTGTATTAAAGGGTATAGAGTGAAAAATATATCTTCTCACCTTTTCCCCCCAGCATATCCAGTCCCATCCATACCTCCCCTTAAGGCACCCAAGTTGATCAATAGTGATTGTCTCTTATTTCTTGGTGAAAAACAAACTGTATATACTGGGATGCAGGGTGCTTTTAAGTGCACAATGTCACTTGATATAGGATAGAGCTGTTTTCAGTCTTAAAGGTCACTTTATTTCTTCGTGATTACTAAGGTATGCTTTCACATAAGATTAATTGATTATTATCTTTGAGTAGAATGCTTACCCTGGGAACTTTTCGCCTATCAAAGTGAAAAATCAAGATGCAGAATTGTGAATACTGGTATAGTAACAGTTGTGTAAAAAATGAAATAGGTTGGGTAGATGAAGAAAAAGCACATTAACTTGAATACACCTGAGGAAACAGCATAAAGGTGATATAACTAGTAGAAGTTGTGCAGCTGATAAATAATAGAGCGAGGACACAACTCCAAGTTTGTCAGATTAAAACCAATGCTGTTAGCTATGCATTAGTTAAATTACTATGCCAATAGTTTATCTTTAGATAATTCAATAAAGGTAGACCTTTAGATAATTTATGTCTTGCAAATCACAATTTCTTATATGTCAGGTATTTCCTTCAAGCAAAAATAATTTGGGAAATTAGCTTATTTCAGTTTTTCAATGGTTATATTTATTCTTTTAGTCAACTACTATTTATTAAGCTCTAGGGGGAAACAATGCAAATTAAAACTATTTTTTTTCTGAAAACCTTTTCCATATCAAAACCTTGTTGGACAGTTTCAAGTAGTCACCATGAGAAGTTTTGTCCTTTTTCTAGAGATGTGTCTATTATTTAAAACTAGTAACCCAGTGCACGAAATTCATGCACATTAAAAGGGAATTAATTAAAGGAAATATTATAATATTGCTGTTTTCCCTTTCTCTATAATAAGAGTGTCAGAGATAAAAGAAAATTAGTAAAATGTATATGAAAGTAATATATAAATTTGTTAATAAATAAACAATCACAACATGATATAATAACAA